CCAGATGTTTCTTCTAATCTTACCTTTTCTGGGAATCTGTGACTCTGTGAAGGACTTTTTCCCCATTTGTTGTACACTTAACCTTGAAAATATTTTTTGTTTAGTTAGTTTTATTATTTTATTATGTTTATTATTGGAGTTGTTTTATTTTCAGTATTGATACTTAATGCATAAATCTTTGCTCAAGTGCCTGGTTGAAGTACTTCCCAAGAATTTGTAGAAAATGATCAGGAAAGACTTACAAAAATTTTCATCAGAGTGTCATGAAAAAGCCAAGAGACAGCAAATTATAGGCAATGTTTTCCACATTTGTTCAGGATTAGAAGAAATTACTGTTTCTGGGAATTTATACCATTGTCATGTCATAAATATAATGTGGTATTGCTCCTGCTTCCTCACTGGCAGAATACAGAAAGAATTCTGGCACAAATACTGTACTTGTACTTCTAAAATTGATTTCCCAAACATCCACAGACCTGGAAATTGTGTATTGCTGATTGCTGAGCTAATAAATTTGATCAAAAGACTATTCAAGAAAAGTAAAAACAAAAGTTTGTTAGTATACCTGAAATGCATTAACTTTGAGTGAATTTTGTTACGCAGATTTCTATTCTTCATTCTGCTGTAATAAAATTGATGATTATGTCGTCAGATTTTCATAACTATACAATAGGAAAAATTACTTATCTGCTTTATTCCTGGTCCTTGAATACTTTTACAGAATTCTTTCACCGATAACATCCTTTACATGGCATTTTTACTGGTAAATTATGGGAGATATTAAAAGTCTGACTTCAGATTCTGACAGATTTTACAATATGATTGACAAGCATATACTGCACAGTTGTTTTGGAGCTACACTCTTTAAATTAAAAGAAAACAAAAATAATCATCTGTATTATCACATCCTGTGCAGAGATTTGTACTCAGAAATGCTACCTTCTCTGTGTGTTTTGTTTTGTTTCTTTTTTTGTTTGTTTTGTTTTTTTAAAATATCATGAGAACTGACTTTATGTCAGTGTAGTGGAAATGCTAAGTGATGGCTTGAACCAGTGATTAAGCACCTGATGGGAAGGCAGGGCCAACCCCGGAGAGCTCAGGTGCATGCAATGTACCTGAGTGACCAGAAGAGGTGGAGCCAGGATTCATTCCTTCCCAGACCTCCTTTGGGAGTTGGCAGTGGAGGTAAGGGTGTTTTTCTAGTGATCTCTGCATACCTGAGGCCTTCTAAAAGTAAGCAGATTCTTTCATTTCTTTCTGTGGCTGTTGTGTTTGAGTACGTCCTTATTTGTTGCAGCCTAGGACCTTGCTGGCTCTGCTGTCACTGCTGTGCTTTCTTTTGTGTTTCAGTAGGTAAATACAGCTAATTATCAGTGTTGATCTTGCAGATAAGACACAATCTATACTTCTGAAAAACTAAACAAAAACATGCCCCATTAAAAATTGCATGATCACCAGCAGTAGTAGCTGCAATTGTGAGTACTGAGATCAGATTCACTCACAGTCAACTACTCTGGGATCTTGGTAGGTATTTGATCATTTTGGAATGTCTAGCCAAATGAAAATTTGTATTTTCATTTTGGTTTTGCAGGTATATCCAAAGCTAAGCAACATGTAATGGTGTTCATGGGTTGATGTTATTCAGAGCAGTTTGCGAAACTTCTACAGTTGTGGGAAGGGAAATACAAACCAGATTGTAATTCTCAAATTACTTTTGCTTATGAAAGGTGCTTCCTTTAACAGAGTTTTTTATTATGTGGTTTTTACAAGGATGGGGGAGTTATCACCTCAGTGTTTTGCCAGATCTGTAGTATAAATCAGATTCTCTTAAATGGCTCCAATAAGGATAAACTGTTTAAAGTAAAGCCTACATATTGTTTATACTTCACTAGAATTACATTTACAAGGCCTCTTATTTATTTCTAAATATGAACTGGAGATGCCAGGCACTATACCTGCTAATGGGAACACACTTGACTTATCCCCTATGTGAAGTATTGGTTTTCATAGGTATTGGCAATATAGAGATATTTCCGCGTTTCAAGATGAATCTTCAGGTGTAATATATGATCTTTCTGAACTTCACAATAAAGAAGAAACAGCCTCTTGTTTGAAAGCAAACAATTGTGTGAAAACATGCAAAAATACCATATATTAAATATGAATTCAGTTAGCACATTTTTCAAATTAACTCAATGAAGGAATGATAAATATTCATTTTATCCTTTCCCACTGGCACACAAAAAAAATTAAATACAGTTAATTATAGCCTTCTAAATGTGATTATTAATCAGTTTTGTAGCAACATGTTGTTTATACTCAGATGTATGCAACTCTTCAGGTTTGTTTCCCAGATGAGTTTCATTCAGTTCCAGCAATAATACTGCTGACGAACTGGACTTTGCTCTTCTATCGATACACAAATACACAAACTTCACAACGAAAAAGTAAATTAGGAAATACACACAGAAAAGCATATGAGTGTAAAGACTCACACATGTATATGAAATACCCAATCATCCTGTATTAAAGTAGTATCCAAGAGCTGGTAAAAACTAACCACACTGAAAATACTCTGATATTATATTGGTATCTTCTGTGAAAACAATTTGTGATATATTCTAAGAAAGTTTTGACAAGAAGAGTTGCAAGAGAAAATTCATCAAAGAGTACGTGGAATGCTTGACAGTGCCTCCTTTACCACTAAGGGTGTCTTCAGGGACTCTACATGTTTTATGTTAGGCCATGGCTTCTTAAGACATGAAAGAAACCTCAGCTCTGCCCTGGTAAGAATTCCACTGTTTTAGTGCAGAACTTGTGAACATTGACTTCAGCAGTGAATCCTGATGCTTTGGAAAATAATTTATTTTAATACATCTCTTTTGTTTTCCTTTTGCTTTCCTTTTCCCTCTTGAACAACTATTATGCTTATCTTCAGGCAGATGCCATTTGTCAGATTTTAGACTTCTCTTCATGAGTTTGATCCAGTGTGCTACAAGATTAAGTGTATCAAAATTGGTTATTGAAATACAGGAGCAAGATATCACTTTTTTCAAGACCCTCTGGAGATCACTTAGTCAGCTCCCCTCTGCTGAAACAGATTCCCCAGGTTAGGCTGCACAGGAAACAGTCTATATGAGTTTTGAATATCTCCAGAGAAAGAGATTCCACAATCTCTATGGATAGCTTGCTCCAGTGCTTAGTCACCCTCAAAGTAAAGAAGTTTTTCTCATTTTTATAGGGAATTTCCCATGTTCCAGTTTGTGCCTTTTTCCTGTCTCTGGACAACATTAAAGAAATCTGGACCCACTCTCTTGAAACTCATCCTTCAGATATTTCTAAAAGTTGATGACATCCTCTTCCAGTCTCATCTTGAGTGATGGGGCAGGTGCTGAGTTCTGCTGGTGACAGCAACAGGATGAGAGGGAATGGCAGGGAGCTGGGTCAGGGAAGGGTCAAGTTGGATGTTAGGAAAAGGTTCTTCACCAGAAGGTGGTTGGGCACTCACCAGGGCAGTGGGCATGGCCCTATATTGACAGAGTTCAAGGAGTGTTTGAAAAATGCTATTAGAAATACTGTTGGACTAGATGATCTTACAGGTAATTTCCAACCTTGTGATTCTATGATTCTATGATTTTTGGGTGTTCCTTTGTAGAGGCAGGCATTTGATTCAACAACTCTCGTGAGTCTCTTTCAACTCAAGGCATTCTGTGAGTCTATGGTTCTCCAGAACAAACAGTCCCATCTTTCCATATTAGAGAGATGCTCCAGGCTCCTCCTCATCTTTGTGGCCCTCCACTGGACTCTTTCTAGAAGTTTCAAGTCTTTATTCAACTGTGTAGCCCTGCTGAGGACAAAGAACTCCAGATGAGGCCTCAGCAATGGGAACAGGGGAAATTTTCCTTTAGCTATATCCATGCAAGCCCACAGACTGTGGTAGTTTAAAACAAGATTAAGTGCAGAATAGGATCATACAATTTTATCTTTTGTTTTACGTTACTTTAAAAATACGTTATATCTTTTTCCCCTTTTTTTTTCCCTTTTTTTTTTTTTTTTTGGATCTACATTGACTCCCATATATCACAGAAAAGTTACCTAACTTGCCATATTACACTGCAAATTTCCTTTAAAAAATCAGTCACTGTGGTAGGTCAGAGGCAGGTATTAACAACTCTGGCAAACTTCTACGATGAGCTTTTTCCCTATTAACATCAAAAGAGTTCTGATTTCTTTAGCCTCCAATATGTAACTGTCCACAATACGAAACTAATAGTACCTTGAAAGTCCCTGTGTAGAGATGACAGTCTGTCGAAATTTTATGTTACAGTGATGACTGAAATTTTAGTCAGGATGAAATATACTGTGCAACTGTCTAGTGGATGCAGTCTTAAAAATTATTATAATTATATAACAACTTTAGATGTCCATCTCTTTGGCACAATATAGCTGAGATAATTATTCAAAAATAAATAGAAACAGCATTAGTATGTAACTTAAGGGGAAATAATATACATTATCAAAAAATACCAGATGAAATTTGTTTGCTCCTTTCTGCAACATATTTATTCCATCAATAACTATAAATGAATTGATGGATATTTTGGTAAATAGTTTTTAGAATTTGCTTTGCATTAAAGAACTACTTTTTGTCTTTAAAATTCATAGCAAATTGGTGTCAAACTGTGTGCTTCAAGTACTAAAAAAATAAAATAAAATTAAAAAAAAAAACAAAACCACAAACATGTAAAATACAATTGCTAATAAGGGAAGACTTGGATCATGTTGCCAGCTCTTAGTGAAGAAAATGGTTTTACATAGGAGAAGAAATGAGTCAAGGGTTAGGAAAATTATTACCCATCACAGAAACCCAATAGAAACCCAATAGTTTTTATTCAAAGTGAAATAATGGACCAGATATAAGTTTATTAGAGTGGTGGTACTGTACAGAGAGCTTGAGAGTAGTCTCCACTGAGACTTCATGGCATACAGTGGATCTCAGCTACACAGGATTCATAGTTCAGTGCTGAAATTGATTATGCACCTTTTTTTTCCCCCAAGTGTTAACAGAGAAAATAAACACTGCCTGTAATGTCTGGAAACTGGTACTGAGCTACATTGTAAAAAATGGAGTAAATAAGAGCTCAGAATCTAGTCCTAACCAAATCTTGGCCTAACCAATGTGTTTGGCCACTTCAAAGAGACAATTCTAGGCTCACCTCTCAGTGACAGCTCTGTGAACTGCCTCCAGCTTCTTAGCATGTTTTTAAGAGCCTGCTGGCACCTTGCAATTATCACTCATCAGTCATTTCTCAAGAGACTTGCTTTTACTTCCTGAAAGGTAATCTGACATTTTTCACATGTTGGTGCTGTACCGTGCACATGTTCCTTACTACGCAACTTCATGTACCAGCCTCTGCTCATCAGGGATGTCTTATAGAGGTGTGGTGGCTTTTCATAGATGAATGATGTAGGCACCCTTTCTTGTCTGGGCAGCACATTTGTTAACATTTATCATTGGGATCCTTCCTTGGTCTCTCAATCTTATGTACTACAAGAAAAATGAAACTGTAAAGATCGATGCGTCAATATATGTTGCCTGTGAAAATGTCAGCTGGAGTCAGTGAAAGGAATTAAGTATGTAAAAGCAGAGTAGTGAAATCGTAAACAGCCTCAAGAGGCATTTCATTTTTTTTCTGTTTTTATATATATTTTTCCTATAGTAAAAAGAGTAACTGGGGCTAGGACTGTGGTATTTACGGAAAGGATGTATACTTGCTTTGGGCCTGTTTCAGCTCTCTTGTTGGGAACTGCTATGGTTCTGACAACATGCCAATTACTAGAAGAATTTATACAAGCAGCCTGCAGATGTTTGTTTTGGGATGCTTGTGTCTAGATAGAATATCCATATTAAATTCTGCATTGCAAAATTATATCTTTCTGGGAAAAAAAAGTGTTAATCATCTTCCAATTCTGAGCTAAGAAAATATTTTCAGAGCTTGAAGTGTAACCTTTGTTTCTAATTTCTTTATCTCAGTTTTCAAGTATTTTATACTTTAATGCTATCTATTTGTGTCTGCTGTTATTTTTGTAACTCCAACACAGCAATTTTTACAGTCTTCAGTCATCACCATCTGCAACACCAATTTGACTTCCTAAGGCATTGCTGACATTTGTTTAAAAACAGATTCTTCTCTGTCTGCATGTATTTTTAACCCAAGTTTTTTATCATGTCAAAAATACTAAGTCTTCAAACGATACCAGCTTTAAGGCTTAATTATAACTTTCTAAGTACAGTGCATTAGCATGAGAAGGAAGCATTTGTCCTCCTAACACTTGCACACAGGAAATATGGCTAAAGTTCAGTGAGAATGTTAGAAGAAATAGAAACACAGGCTAAAGTTCACCAGATGCTTGCCATCCTGGCGGAAAAGGGAGACTGGCATTGACCTAAAACTTCATTTGCAAATTGTTTATATTGTATTTGTTTGCATGTTTGTTTCCTTGTTTTGTAGAGAGAAGGCATTGCTGGAGATATGATTCAAAGCTCAATAGGAAATGATCTTTTTATTTTAGTGGATTTTTTATTCACTTTTTGGACAGCCAAAATATTATCACACACCCGTAGCCTTTGACAAAGGAAGATGTCTTTACCTCTCATAGCTTAGGTATCATTTTCAGGCAATAAGACATACCTTGGAGTAGTTATTTCAGAAGCTGTGAAGAACAGGTATTTGAATTTGTTACAATTCTTTATTTCTTATACGGAATTCTTAGAATAAAGATAACCATTGTCATAAAACAATTTTTTTTTTTTTTTTTTTTTTTTGCATAATTGACTGTAAAGTGTTGTAATTCTATATGTTTTATTTTCTTTTCTGACCAGATTAAATTATCTTTTTTAAAGCTAGTATTTGCAGTTTTCGTGCTTTAAAGTTACCCTAATGACATTGTGTTTCCAAGTTTAGAGAGAAAATAAAAATATTTCTATAATTTTTTTTGTGCAAAGTAGCCATTAAAAACTCATTTTTGCCATTTAAGTAATTTTTGTCCCTGAGACATAATAATATCCCCATTAGCACATAGGCAAAACAAAACTGTCAGCTACTTTTAACATTAATTAATTTGTTATATTGTGATTAAATGTTTGCAGTTATGCCAAGTGTAGTCTAATTGCTAGTATAGTTAGCTTAAATTCCTATGTAACAAATGTCATTTTTTTTCTGATCCTCTTATATGTTATCCTCTGATATATCTTATATGTTATCTATCTAAGAAGCAACACTGTAGTTGCTGCGCCGTCTTCTTTCTATTCCTCACCCATCTCCATTTTTCCTCCTTTGAATTTCATTGCATATTACTCTGATAATTTCACAAGGTAGGACCTTTGCAGATATTAGCAATTCCAGCTTCATTGTAAAGTATTTAGTTTGGAGAATAGGACTGAATAGAAGTGGGGGGGGGGGGGGAGGAAGTATGAAATGCTCATCAAATTCTTAGCAAAATAAGATTAATCTCTTATTCTCTCAGAAGTCTCCAGAGCCACTACCATTCAAATCTAGTCCTTTCCAGTGTAGTTTTTCAACAGCAATCTTAATTTTAAACTAGAAACTACTTGACAGCAGTTCTTAATCAAGAAGGCAATTAGAGCTTTTCTCTGCAGACTGTAATTGTTAATCAGAATTAAGACTAATTTGATGGATCACTTCACTCTGATATCACCCAGCCTTCAGCGTCATTAATTCTGTTTTGGTGCTTCATTTAGAAATATGGCTTGCTAAAGATGTAAACTGAGAGAAATTTTTAAGTGCCTTAGCATTATATGAATGCAGCTCTGAAAGTAATGCCTCCTATTTTATTATGTTGGCCCACAATATTAGAGGAGGATATCGGTGGTATGGCTGTGGAGGTTGAACCTTCCCAGAAATATTTTCTTATGTTTTGTTGCCTTGTAACAGATGGTAGAAGAAGGGTAGCCTGGCAAAATGGTATCTGACATGGAAGTGCAGATGAAGTACAGGTGTGGCATTTCCTCCAAGTGGAAAAAAATAGCACCCACTGATGCTTATTGACACTTCCTGAACATTTATTTATGGAAACCAAACAGTGGATGTAAGCACAGTGAGGTGGTGGGTGGTGTGTTTCAGCAATGGCAACAGTGGATCACCTCTCCTGTTACAGATTTTTGAGTACAGCACATGGGCTCTTGTTCATGCTGGTGAAGGTGCAAGCTAATGGTGGTCACCACGTTGAAAAATAGTGTTTTGTAGTTGAGAATTTGCTCTGTCAAATAGAGCTATTGTGCTCTTTGCATCTTCCGTAGTGTGCATGGAAAAATAAGTAGACATTGCTTGCAGTAGACATCCTGAAGTCACAGTGAGGCTCTATCTCACAGACTCTCATGTTCTTTACAGGGCTAGGTCCAGAAGTTTTGAAAAGTATCTTTGAGACTTGTGACTTTATGGGATGTAAACAACAACAACAACAAAAGGCCAAAGGGCTGTCTCATCCCTTTCAATCGTGTTGTTCATTCCTACTGTGCCTTCCCTTCCACTGTGTTTCATTGTCACCTACGCAGTCTGTGCTCGCCATGTCACTAAAAGTGATAAAAGTTTACATTCTTTTGGGGCTGCATTACTAGCTGACTAGGGCTTCATATGCCATGCACTGGACATGTCTGGATTATAACTCTTCTGGAAGTACTAATATGTAAGTTCCTGATCTATTTACAAAAACAGATCATAATAATAATGTAAATATAAATAAAAAAATTGATATATAACTAGTACACTTAACTGGGCTCATTGCCAAGGCAGTTGATGAGCAGTGCTAGATTTTGAATCCAGGATTTGGAAAGTAATAGATAGAAAATGTTACACAGCTGTTTATTTTATGTAAAATGATAGAGGCATTTCTTTGCAGAACACAGGGCTATGAATTTTACAAACCAGATTCTTTCATTTTCTCAATTACAATAACATTGCTTAAAAAGATCTTTTTTCATCACTTACGTAATGCAGTTAATGCAGGTATAAATGGAACTGTGTATTTTTAGTTTTTACTATAATACGTTTCAGTGACAGTATTTTCTCATGGTGAAATTTACTTCAAAAACCTTTCCATTTTCCCATTGCATTCTGCTTTAAATCACAGAAAATTGCAGACTACTTAGAAACACAGGTGGCTTGTAATCTCGGGACATAATAACGAACTACAAAGGAACAATATATTTCCTTTTGATTACTGTAATTCAGAGCTACTGTGTGGGCAAGAATTGAGAATCCATACCACCCAGGCAGTTCACTTAGCAGCAATCATCCCTTCTAGTAAATTTTTGTCAAGTTAATGTTTGTATTTGATACAGTGCAATAGAAGAAGACAGCAGGTGTAAAGAATTTCTACAGTTACCCCACGCATCTTTGGATTCAGCCATAATTGAACTTTCTGGAAAAAGAAAGTAGCTTCCAAGTAACTGAAATTTCAACTTGTGAGATATCATGAAACACAACTGGAATCAAATAAACCAGTTTAATGCAACTAATCTTAAAGTTTACAATTTCTAACAATAATCCTTAGTGGCTTGAAAGAGAATAAATTTGTAGTAGCAGAATGATTTTTTTTTTTTTTAACTATAAATTCATCCTTCTAGCTTCCTGTTGTCCAATTTTAATACTTCCAAGACCATAAAGTAGCTATTTCTATCTTTCTAAGCTGTATAGTTTACTTTTAGCAGAAGAAATCTACTGTAAATTATTGTTTTTCAGACCCTTTTACTGTAGCTCTAGGTCATGTTTTATCACCTACTATTATTCAAAATTTAAGCACATATAATTTTATTTGTCATAATTAACATTTTTAAATTTTAAGACAGGCAGTCTTGGCATCATTGTGAAATGCATTTGGAGAAGATCACAACTCCTCTGTTCATACAGTCTGAAACATCCTGTTCTTGGGGCTACTTATTCATCACTCTGTGTAACAAATCACCTACATCTTCCAAGTATGTCTTGGCTCAAGCCAGTTTAGTTTGTGTAATCTGAGTGATCACAGCAAACATTAATTGTAGGCCATTCTGGGATGTTTACTTTGTATAACTATACAGCATAAATGTAGGAAACATAACCATGTTTGAAATTTCCAGGACAGTAAGCCAAAATTTCAGACTTTTTACCTGAAGTTCTGTGGCTTTACAGCATATTAAGAGTTCTCCCTGAGGTTTGATTTACATGTAAAAATTTTCATCTTTTATATAGCCAATATAGCTAATTTAAGAAAATTTAATGTTGTGAGATCTTTTAAGCACAATATCTTTTTATATTTCTGGAAATATAGCCCACAAAATTATTGTTGTTTTTTTCCTGTGACTGTTGTTTTTTTAAGGCGAGCTAAAGATTTCATGTGTTAAGTCATTTGTTATTGGTGTTATGTCACCCCACAGGAAAAATAAATAGAAATTAGGTTTTCATAGGAGATTTATAATCTCCTTCTATTAACTGGAAGCTCTTTGTTTTCATTTTCATTTACTTTATTTGATTTCCTACATTTTAGCATAATCTCTTATCATCCTTTCCTTAGAAATAATAAAGTAGTTGTTAGAATAACAGAAGTTATGGGAGATCTAATTCTGAAGTTGATGCAGCTCTGACCTGTGACCTTCCCTCCTGCACCCACTGTTACTGAAAATGCGCTCCACTGTACAGGTTTACAAACTGTTTTGCTTAAAATCATTTATTTCTTCTGCTGTTGGTGTATGTAAGGACTCATTTCATGAAAGATGTTCAACAAGTGCAGCTCCAGTGAATTCAATGATCTATATTTCATAGAAATAAAATGTACCAGTGGTCAGCAGCTCCCCTTCTCTGGATCTGACCTTGGAAATCGCAGGAAGATTCATATAAGTGTATTACGCTTAAATTCAGAAGGGGTTACATTCCCATTATTTTCCATTGATCTTTCAGTCTCATGCCCTTCATCTCTCCATGTACATTAAACAAATCTCTGAGGAAAGATGATACAAGGGCAAAAATATTTCTGAACAAAATCCTACTGTGCTATCCTTATGTTAGTAGTGGTATCCTTATGTTACCTCTCTATTACTGTATAAAGCATGAGCTTTGTAAGGACCAGTATATCACTCTAGGCTTGAAAATCTGTGAGAAGGCTTCTGAAGACTCAGAAAAGAAACAACAGACCAAAGGTTTCAGGAAGACTAAAACACTGAAAGTCGACTCTAGTTACCTGAATTGGCCCTTTGGAAATCTACTGTGTCTTGAATAACAAAAACTTGTAAAAACTTAGAGTCTACCCTGATGGGAAGTATGGATTTCCTTTATTTCTTAACATAGATTTGGTTATTCTTGGAATACCTACTTAGTGAAATGTGCTTCTGAAAAAGATAAAGGTATGAGTGTCTCAATTTGATCCTGGAGCCAGCAGGTTTTAATGGGCATGAGAGAGTAGCAGGAAACTATTCTCCCCAGTGCTGAAAACAAATGGGATTTTGTTGCTTAATGAGGCATCTGGGGTCAATTTCTGACACCTTTGGAATTGCTCATTTTTCCGTTCTCAGGGAGACGTACAAAGCTGAGAGAGCAGAATTGGCCCAATGTAAAACACATCTTCCACTGACCAAATTTTACATTTTTTCATTTTGCCTTTTTTTTTTTTTTTTTTTTTTTTTTTAGCGTCTAGCGTTTCATCTATATGTCAGATACTCAGGAGTTATGTTGTACTTGAGACCCAATGGTATTGTAGGATTTCAATTATCTCTTTCCAGGCAGAAATTCAATAGAATACAATTTAAAGGCAAATGTAATTTTAGCATATTGGAAAAATAGTACATTTCAGTGCTTCTCAAATAAACAGAAAGACTTCATATTAATGTCCTCTGCACCTATTTGAAAAATGTTTATTAAACACCTGAAACTCTCTTTTTGAAATAACTAAAAGTGCTACACAACGAGAACAAAGGAAGACTTTGTCAATCTCTATTAAAAATATTAAATGAGTTTTAATGAAGTTGCATTTCCTTCCCACTCCTTCAAATTGTCTAAAAATTTTCTAGTGATGCTGTCCCTATCTCAGCTTCACTTGAATTGTATTTGAAGAGATGGTGAAATAACTAAATACTCTGTAAACTCTAGATTTTTAAATATTATGTTTCATTATACACAGGATTTTTCAACATTAAAATCGTGTGGCTTGCAGGAAGGTAACTAAAAAGACTTTAACAGCCTCTCCTGAACATGATTTTGACTCTTTCCTCTTCTGATTCAAATGCTTCAAGTATATATGCTGATCAAAGAATGAAATCTTCCTTGGATTTCTAGAACCACACTGTTTGGAATAACAATATATTTTCATATCTAATAGCTACTGAATGAACACCAATAAGATATTTGCATAGAGATAGTAATGTACAAAATACATTGGTTGTTGCTGTGCAGACATCCTGATGTCTCTACTGGAAGAGATTTAAACAGATTTCTCATGCAGCCCTTGGCAGCTTTGTCCTAAGGGTCAGGAATTCACTGTAGGCAGTTTCCTAGTTCCAACTTTTGCTAGAATGCAGTGAATTTCATATTTTTTGCATTGCACTGCTGGTATAATATTCTTCATTTGTGCAATGTAAAACGGCACAAGTCATAAAAAACCCTTAACTTCAGAAATAAAGAGAGGGGAGAAAAAAAGCAGTTCACTGTGTATGAGAGTTTGTGTGGATCCAGCAATTAAAATTCTGGAACATAAAATCTATCATTAGGCAACATAATACCTTCAAAATTTCTTCATTTGCTATTCTAGCTTTTAAACTTGGATGTGACAATTTGTTCTGTCATAGCATATGCTTTAGTGTAAATACAGTTTTTAAAGCAAAGATTTATATTTTCTCTTTGAATTTAACAATGTTCATAAATACATCAGATATATAAATATTCTGTGGGAATTTTTTGAGCAATTCTCTGTGTTTAGATCTAAAGTAACATTTCCACAATGCTTCATGATTCTGAAAAGGCATCTGTACATTTCAGTTACCTAGTCTTGGTTATCAGATTCTATGAACCAGCTACTGAATGGACCTATCTACATGACACATTAGATGCATTTTGGCCTTACTACAGATAATAGCATACTTCAGATTATGTCAGAATGGCATCTTGTTCAGTTTATATAAACCCTTGTTTGCTGAATTTGATACTCTAAAATTCTAGGACTTTATTTTTTCCTTCTATAATATATACCCCTTGGAATCCTCCCTATGGTGCTTTCTAGATAAACAAGTATCTAGTAATGTGAATGACACTGTATAATCATGCTTAAACAGAAATAAAACCACATACGAAGAAAAACAGAAAAATCAGGGACGCATGACTCTGTGTTCTAACATTCTTCCTATGTGTTTCCATGCTGTTGATTTTTAAGGAACAAAGCCTTTGGGAAGAGGCTTTTTTTTTTTTTTTTTTCCCCCTCATTTTGTGTACTGTATGTGGTGGTTCAGGTTTGCTACCCATCAGGCACTCCTGAAAGTAATAATGAATAACAAACCAAATTTTTCCGCATATTTACAAAAATAGAATTCACAATGCTGAAACAAAATCAGTCTTTTTGAGCCCCAGTAAGACTATGAATTGTTCAGGATTCTACATTTTGCCTTAGTTTTTCTTCCATATAAGGATAAAACATCCAGCAACACAGATCAGTATGCATGTGGAAACACTGAAATATAATTTATTTTTAAGGCAACTACCTTAGTTTTTGTAATTCACTTAGGAATCTGTGTAAAGGTTTTGTATGCATTAAATTATTTTTTCACATTTTGTTCAACCCACTCTGGGACAATCAGCTTCAGGTTTCAGCTATGATTCAGCCTTGATCACAGTACATTATTATACCCACACAACCATCATTTGCTTTTCTTTCTCCAGCTAGAGATGATTGAGTTGCTTGCAGCTTTCTTAATTAAAACTCTGCTTATTTTAACTGGACTTAGCTTAAGAAGATTAAAGGATATGGTGAATACACTATTTATGACTGAAAAGGAGAGTTGTCTGGGAAATAAAATATAAGTGAAGCATGAGATTAGAATTTAGTCGTCTTCTGTGAATGTAGCCTAGTATAGCATAGGCCACATATTCAGAGGAGACTTTGTTGTTAGCTTCAGCCAAACATCCTTCTACTTGTACAGTGCAAAAACCATTTTCCAGAAATTATATGTGCACTTGAGTAGATGAAAAAATAGCCTGAATAGCAAGACAAAAAATTTAAACTTCAGGAACAGATTTTGCAAAGAAACTTCTGTATACAGATTACTTTCAGTATTAGCCCAACTTGATTTTACCAGCAACAGTTTACAATTTTATCCTCTTACTTTCATGAGAAGATAGTTTGGGGCATGAGTAGATTAAAATTAAAAATGTTCCATTCTGCAAAGTGTGGACATGTGCCTTTTATGAACTAGAGGGAATGTGAAGCCTGTAATTCCCTTCAAAAATGGAGGTGTAGAGCATGAATATGTATTTTGTTTGGCATATCTTGTGCACCCACAGGAATAAAGAACAAAATATAGTAAATCACTAAGATGACTCTCAACGTGAAAATGTACAGGATATTGATCCTCCCTGAAGCTGTATGGAAAGATCACCTGGAAACGAAGAAGAGGCGATGTCATAATTCCGCTTGTTAAGTATTTGTTGTGTTAGAACACTTTACATATGGGAGATGTGAATTCATGCCTCTCTTCTGCCAGGAAATAATGAATCTGAAAAAAGCACTCAACAGAACTTAATCTATATCCTAGAACAACTCAGGGGTCAGCTGCCTTCACCTGTTTTCTGTCATTCCTGCTGACACTACTGTGGTGTATAAGAGTTCTTAAATATTTCCTCCAGGAAAAATAAAGTTTTTTGTTTGTCAGTCTGCTTTTTCCCAAGTCTGTCTTTTTGAAGCAAAGTGAGACTTGAGACTTTTGGCTAAATAGTTAAAATGGACTATATCTTAAAGGGGCAGGAACTGCCTCAACTTTTCTGATGCATGTTTACATCAGAATTTTATGAAGTTGCCTTTAGCACTTTGTGTCCATAGCTTTTTTCATTAAAAACTTGAGAATGCAATTGAAGTATTTTATTTTGGTACTAAAAGAAAAAAATATTTCTACTTGATATAAAAAGTCACTTGTTTGGATTTTAATTTTTGGGTAGGAATAAACACTTTTTATTTGGATTGGATCTAAATATGTTACTGTTGATATGTTTAGTTCAGTTACCAGGTTTAATAAAGCAAAGATTTCTGTATCCTTATACATACAGATTTCACCTCAATTAAAGTGACAGGCTGAATAATGAAGTGGACATTTTATGTTTTTTACACTATTAATGTAAAATAAATAATCATCTAGAGAATAAGAGAGAGCCAGCAGCATGTCTTTGTGGCCAAGAAGACCAAGGGTATTCTGGGGTACATTAAAAAAAACATGATCAGCAGGTCAAGGGAGGTTACCTTTTCTCTCTGCTCTGCCTTGATGAGCCATATCTGGAATACTATGTCCAGTTCAGGGTTT